CACTGTAGAATTCTCAACTGTTTCTTTGCATATTAAGTAGCTCATTTGCATAAATCCAAATCATTTATTTAGAGGATGGTAGTAGCAGTTCTAGTGAAGATGACAAGGAAGATACAGTGGAGCGTAGAAACAATAGAGCCAAAGGTAAATAAATACAATCCGTGCACCAGCAATTCTACTTCACTTTTACAAACTTTATAATATTGCAGCAATTATTGTTTCAATAAAAACAGTAAGAAAGTGATAATTTACATTTTCAAAACTTTCATTTCTCTGCCTTGGTATATTGAATCATGTAGACTAGATATAATATCAGAAAAATCTATGAATAATAAACTAGTAAAATGTTTTGAAGTGTTGCGGGTGAGCATTGTGTCCATGGCGATGTACTGAAGTCATGGATATAAAAATAAAGCTTTTTGATTTGCTTGTATGAGTTGTGGGACAAATATCCATAATCAAGAAATGTCTGGTGATGACATCACTCCAGGCTTGTCAATCAAATCAAAATAAGTGATGACACAGAATTTATATAATTACATAGAATTCACATGACCATTCTAGAATATTTACTTTCTCTTGATGAGCTAAATTCTTAAAATGTTTAATCGCTACAGAATATCTTGATTTGATGTTTGCAGTTTACCCTTTTTAAAAAAGAAAGAAAGAAGGGGCAGATCAACTTCATGTGCATCAGTTTTTCACATGTTGAGTAGACGTATGTACATATACATGAGATATCCTATCCAAACTATGCACGACTATGTTTCAGAGTGTGTATGAATAGTTTCCTTTTTTTACAAACATTTTGTAAACTTTGAAATGTAACATATATTTCTGCAATACGGAATCAACACATTCAGTACAAAACAGTAGTTGGTAGAGAATCAACATCAATTTGGCCCCATGCACCCCTCTTTGTGTACATTGTGACTAAGCAACCAGAGAACTCAAAACTTTACAATTACAAATGGCTTTCCCATGAGAACTGCATGATATTGCATCCTTTTTACCACTGATCCCTGCACATTTTTTAATTTGATTTGATTTGATTGATTGATTTGACTTGCAGTGGACAGTGACTCAGGTAGCAATGTGGACACTAGGGATCCTCTTGGCAAGTGGCAGACAGGTAAACCTTCTGATACTGAAAAGTTCCTGGCTGAGATCGAGAAGCGAAAACAAGGTCCTCAGCAAACAAGCAGATCGTTGCTTGATGATCCTGACAGGTAGGTGTATGCAAATTACAAACAACGATGTCCCTTTATGGCAATGTATGCAAATTACAGACCAAGGATATCCTTATATGGCACTGTATGCAAATTACAGACAAAGATACCCTTTTATGGAAGTGTATGCAAATTACAGACAAGGATATTTTTTTATGGCAGTGTATGCAGATCACCAAGTTTGAAGATCACTATATATGATCATATGAAGAACAAGTTGCTTTTAATATGTTAATTAAACATACCATATAAGGTCATGACAGTACATGTTCAAAGAAACTGTATTCCGTATATAGTGTTATAATTGCCTTATATGGTAATGATATGCAAGTTCAAAGGTCGCTGCTGACCATATATGGTCAGGTGAAAGTGTGTAAAAATCAACATTGAATACTTCCGTGTTGAAAGGTCAATTTCAACTTGAAAAACTGAATGCTTGTACTGGGGTGTTACTGTTGGTTGAATGGATGTATCAAACAGTAGTGTAATAGATTAGGATGTAAAAATATTAAGTTTATATCACATGAAACAATGCCTATATATCGCAGGCAGGTGTGTAGTACTTTGGGGTATATTATATTGTTGTATATTGATGCTTTATAAAGCTACTCAGGTGTGTATTTCACATGGATCTATTAAAATAAAGGGAGACCTCCTGGATATCCATATCAATATACTATTCCTCCTGCTGCCTTTCAGCTGCTAAATATTCTGTACCCTAAACTTGATGGCTGATATTGCTTTGCATTGTGGGAGTTATATAATGGGCTGCAAGTTTAGGGTTAGAATTTGCCATTGCTGCTGTTTTGTGCATATGTCATGTGGCATTCGTCATGGAACATGTATCATCTTGTGTTTTGTCAATTGTTCTGTCACTTTTTTTTTTAATTTTAGCTCACTGTTTTTTGTTTATTTTTTCTAAATGCTTGAAGTTTGCCGAGTAAATTTAACTTTGCTTGTGACTGCTACTAGTTTGTCTGTCTGCTTTAACAGCTGTGTAATGCTAGGACTTGAAACATGTGAATGACTTATACTAGTAATGAATGCTGTATATTAACAACTGCTCTTGTTTTGTGGAACGTTCTTCCTTGCATAGCTACAATCAAACTGATGACACTGACTCTTATATTCGAACCGACGATGAGAGTTACCTAGCAACTGATGATGCTGAGTCGTACATACGTACTGACGACGAAAGTTACATGCGGACGGATGATGAAGCATCTAATTATTTTCGTCAGACTGATGACGAACTGTTCGAGAAAGATCCGCAGGTAAGATTTTAGTAGTAAACTTAAAAATCTTCTTTATACAGGACTTGTAAGCCTTCTTATTTTCAAATCTTAGAAATAACAACAATCTTTGTTTACTAACACTTGACTGAAATGTGTATGCTCATTGTCCTTTGTAAAATAGAACTGTCCAGTACTTACTTGCGAACATTGATCTTCATAGACCAGAGTAAATAGGTAGGAGTTTTACTTACTTCGTACCATATTTGCCTTTCAAGCAAACCCTCCTCCTTATTCTTTGTGAAATGGAATCACCCATACTGTATATAATTATGGTGGGTCACCCCTAGCTTTCATTAGATTTCGAATAATTGATTTTTTTTTGCGTGATGCAATTTTCAAATCTGGATCCAATTAGTTGTTTTCTAACATTGTGTATGTCTGTTCGTTATGTATTGACTCAAGTCACATTAACTATGGACTCATTACTCATTTGTAGCAAGGTAAGTAATACTTGTAGTTGAACTGTTATCAGGAGTTCATGCTGAAACCCTCAAATCAGTCTTAAAAAGGTCAAAAAGTAGAACTGCGGACACATCTGAAACCCTCAAATCAGTCTTACAAAGGTCAAAAGCTAGAACTGCAGACAAATCTGAAACCCTCAAATCAGTCTTACAAAGGTCAAAAGCTAGAACTGCGGACACATCTGAAACCCTCAAATCAGTCTTACAAAGGTCAAAAGCTAGAACTGCAGACAAATCTGAAACCCTCAAATCAGTCTTACAAAGGTCAAAAGCTAGAACTGCGGACACATCTGAAACCCTCAAATCAGTGTTACAAAGGTCAAAAGCTAGAACTGCAGACAAATCTGAAACCCTCAAATCAGTCTTACAAAGGTCAAAAGCTAGAACTGCGGACACATCTGAAACCCTCAAATCAGTCTTACAAAGGTCAAAAGCTAGAACTGCGGACACATCTGAAACCCTCAAATCAGTCTTACAAAGGTCAAAAGCTAGAACTGCGGACACATCTGAAACCCTCAAATCAGTCTTACAAAGGTCAAAAGCTAGAACTGCAGACAAATCTGAGACCCTCAAATCAGTCTTACAAAGGTCAAAAGCTAGAACTGCAGACAAATCTGAAACCCTCAAATCAGTCTTACAAAGGTCAAAAGCTAGAACTGCAGACAAATCTGAAACCCTCAAATCAGTCTTACAAAGGTCAAAAGCTAGAATCAAACAAATTTGAAATGAAAAGATTTTTTTCAAAACTAGTTTGCAGCATAAACCATGAATAATGATTAGTCTTAGAAACATTACTTGTACCTTTGACCTTTCTGAATGTGTGCTAAGTATTAAGGCTGTAGTATCATGAGATCTACAAGTAAAACTCCAGTTTTTCAGTAATTGCCTGCACATTTGAAGGTCATTAGCAGTTTGATCACAACCTACCAACCTTTCAATGTGTGATATAGTGTTTTTGAGTTGTATACCACAAGAAGGTCAAGCTAAAGGGAATTTTTGGTTTTTTTTACTATACGAAATTATGAGTATCTTTAAGTGTAGTGATCATGTGATTTTTTGAATTCCAGAATTAAAACATTTGGCGTTTTTTATGAAATGTAAATTTTTTTTTTGCTGGAAAGGATTTTCAAAATGCAGGAATATTTTGTTTGATACAACATCTACTCTGTTTACTATTTTTCATGATGTAATATGCAAAACATAGTGAAAACGTCCCAAAGTCATGTACATTCATGTTTACACTACTGAGAATTATATTCCATAAAAAATGACTAGATCTCCTTGAACTGCTTCATTTTAACCATTTGAACATTACTATTTTCTCGTCAAAATGATATTTGCACATTTTTATGTATTTTTCCATAATTTCTTTGTTGATTTTGGACCAAATGGACAATTTACTCATTGTTGAAAAATCTGAAATTCCTGATGCGGGATTTAGTTTGTAAAAAAAGACAAAATTTGAGTTTCAAGTTCAATAGGTTATTGTTTTCTGCTCATCTGTTGCAATGCATGTGTGTGGTCTGTATTAACCTCTTCACTAATCACTATGCAACAAACTCTGACAAGTTGAAATTACTCCATTTTTACAATATTTCATACAAATTTTCATATTAATATATCAAAATTGGCAAAACTTATAAATTTTATATAACAAGTTGTCAGAATTGTTTGCGCATTCACTTCCCTCAGTAACCGTGGCAACCATTTACTAGCAAAGGTAAGCAAAACACTTGATTCAATTTATTCTAAACAGTACAGTATTGTGTGACAATTTATTCCAAGCTGTTCATTTGAGCTATCAATTGATATTTCTGTATACTCCATGTACATGTAGTGTAAATTTTACTGTAATTTTAATAAAAGAAATATATAATAATCAATCATGTTTTCAGGTGTACATGTATCTCGCGTTTAAAATTTAAAATTATTTTACCAAGAAACCAGCGTTTTTATTCACAGTACATGTGTACATTATGTTTTCATTTCTTGTCATTATCATTGTAATAGTGAGTATAATTTATGGCTGTTACATTGGTGCAATAGTACTAATTTATTTCCCCATATGTGACAGTGTTAATGTTTGGTCCAGTGTCATTTGTTGTTTGTGGGCAACACCAAAGATAGCATCAGCAAAACATACATCCTGGTCACATGCATGTCAGATTACAGTGTGGTTGGTGTGACCAAAAATGCACATCCAGATCAACAAGACCAGTTGCACACCCTGGTTCTGCACATGTCAAATTAAAAAGACCAGTTTATGTGAGCCAAAACACATACATGTACCCTGGTCTCACACATATCAGATCAGAAAGACCTGTTGGTGTAAACAAAACACACAGCCATGTCTCGCACAGGTCAAATCAAAGAGACCTGGAACAATAGGCGTATGGCAAAACACACACCCTGGCTCTGCAAATGTCAGATTAAAGGGACCAGTTGATGTCAGCCAATACCCATACCCTGGTCTCTCGCATGTCAGATTAAAAAGACCAGTTGGCCAGATTAAAGAAACCAGTTCACGTCAGCCAATATGCACACCCTGGTCCTGCACATGTCAGATTAAAGAGGCCAGTTCACGTCAGCCAATACACACACCCTGGTCTCTCGCATGTCAGATTAAAAAGACCAGTTGATCAGATTAAAGAGACCAGTTCACGTCAGCCAATACACACACCCTGGTCCTGCACATGTCAGATTAAAGAGACAAGTTCACGTCAGCCAATACACACACCCTGGTCCTGCACATGTTGGATTAAAGAGACCAGTTGGTGTAAACCAATACACACACCCTGGTCCTGCACATGTTGGATTAAAGAGACCAGTTCACATCAGCTAATACACACACCCTGGTGTGCTGCACATGTCAGATTAAAGAGACCAGTTGGTGTAAATCATTACACACACTCTGGTCCTGTACATGTTGGATTAAAGAGACCAGTTCACATCAGCTAATACACACACCCTGGTCCTGCACATGTCAGATTAAAGAGACCAGTTAGTGTGAAACAATACACACACCCTGGCTCTGCAAATGTCAGATTAAAAGGACCAGTTGATGTCAACCAATACACATACCCTGGTCTCTCGCATGTCAGATTAAAAACACCAGTTGGTCAGATTAAAGAGACCAGTTCACGTCAGCCAATACACACACCCTGGTCCTGCACATGTCAAATTAAAGAAACCAGTTCACGTCAGCCAATAAACACACCCTGGTGCTGCACATGTCAGATTAAAGAGACCAGTTGGTGTAAATCAATACACACACCCTGGTCCTGCGCATGTTGGATTAAAGAGACCAGTTCACATCAGCTAATACACACACCCTGGTCCTGCACATGTCAGATTAAAGAAACCAGTTAGTGTGAACCAATACACACACCCTGGCTCTGCAAATGTCAGATTAAAGGGACCAGTTCATGTCAGCCAATACACATACCCTGGTCTCTCGCATGTTAGATTAAAAAGACCAGTTGGTCAGATTAAAGAGACCAGTTCACGTCAGCCAATACACGCACCCTGGTCCTGCACATGTCAGATTAAAGAGACCAGTTCACATCAGCTAATACACACACCCTGGTCCTGCACATGTCAGATTAAAGAAACCAGTTAGTGTGAACCAATACACACACCCTGGCTCTGCAAATGTCAGATTAAAGGGACCAGTTCATGTCAGCCAATACACATACCCTGGTCTCTCGCATGTTAGATTAAAAAGACCAGTTGGTCAGATTAAAGAGACCAGTTCACGTCAGCCAATACACGCACCCTGGTCCTGCACATGTCAGATTAAAGAGACCAGTTCACGTCAGCCAATACACACACCCTGGTCCTGCACATGTCAGATTAAAGAGACCAGTTCACGTCAGCCAATACACACACCCTGGTCCTACACATGTCGAATTAAAGAGACCAGTTAGTGTGAACCAATACACATACCCTGGTCTCTCTTATGTCAGATTCAAGTGACCAGTCAGCCATTGTTACAGAACTAGTTGTGAAATCAGTTTCAATGTGTACCGCCAGCCAGCCAGACAGTGAGTCAGTCAGCCAGGCATAGTGGAAAACTCATTTGGCATTTTGAACAAAAACACACTGTCATATCGACATATCGAAAATAGCAGTTTCTGGTCAGTTTGTTTTTCCAAAAGTGGCTCAGATGAATGTTTTTTTGGTGAAACTGTTATTAAAATTATACTATTATTTTCATTTTTGTGAAAAACTATTTTTTTGTCTAAAATTATGACAAACAAAAAGCTCTTAGTCTGTAGGGTTCAAACATGACAATCAAATGGGTTGACATCATTAATGTTGGCATTGGAAAACATGTTTTTCACTCACATACATATATGTTATACTAAAATCCATCTTTGCGATTTGGAGTTCATCACTTGTACTTAAATGCACTGAAAGGATGAGCACATATATTGTATCAAGTAAAATTCATTTTAATGTTTCATCGTTCTCTTCTCAGTAACCATGGTATCTTAGAAATAACTGCATTAATACTAA